CTCTCTCCTCCCTTTGTCCTGCAGGTGAGAAGTGGAAGATTGGCTGCCAGCTCCAGAAGATCTGTGGATGGCTCACGCTTCAGCCAAGTAGCCAATCAGAGACAGAGGGCACCATTTTAAAAGCCTCTCTTTTGCTTTGTTCTCCCTCTGTTGCTTTCTATCAAGCAAGGTTTGTGGTGGGGAGGTTGAACTGAGTTAAGGCTGGGGTACCCTATACATTCTCACATGTAGGAAGAAATTGTTATGTACATTAGGTTATGGGTTGTTGCCACTGATGTACTTTTATTAGTTTCAGACACTTTTTTAGATAAGATAGTCAGGCCTTTTGTGTTATTTTACTTTCTTACAGATAGAGTTGAGCTAGGCCCTATTTTGTTGTACTTGGTTTATTTGGTTTGGTACAACCCCCACGGTTCCTCCTACCCCCACATGTTTCAAACCTACGTTTGTTATCTACCATCATTTAAATTGTAAATAAACCTTTTTTCTTTGACTGCCTCACGTCCACCCTGAGTTCTTTCTTTGTTAATTGTCAGTGTTACTGTTTCTGCAAACACGGAAACGTAACACAAACTATTAGACCTGACCTCAGCCTCTCAGTGACACTTTTGTTTTCTTTAAGTCGCTACATAAAATATTTTAGGGGGTGCTTACAAAATTGTCAGTGTGTGGACCAGCATGATCAGCCATTCTCATTTTTGCAGCCTCCCTGGATGACATGAAGTCCTTATACATGGAGGGAGTATTCAGATCATCACAGCAATACAACAATGTGAAAATGGGGTTAATTAAGCAATTAACAATAGACTTTATTCTTATTGCATCTGGTGGAGGTTTGGCTAATTGTATGTGCTTACTATATTGATACTGTTTTGTTGGGTTTTTATAAACTAACCACTTGTGTCAGATCCTAATCTGCAATACAATATATCAGGCAATGAATGGTCAGGCCCCTGCTTCCATTGCTGACCTGCTCCATCCATGCAGCCCAGGTAGGTCACTTGGATCCTCTGACCAACAGGTGCTTCAAAGTTGTGGCCCAAACATTATGGAGTACTCTCCATATAGATTGGCAGTCTTCAGAATCTATGGAAGCCTTTCAAACCCATTTATTCACACTGGCTCTGGTCTCATTATGTGCATTGTCGTGTTTGAATCCATGTGTTTAATTGTCTGTCTGTTATTCACAATCTTTTTATTGGATATAGTGTATTACTACTTTCTTGTGTTATTCTACTTATGCGAAGCACTTTGTAACCCTGAATGGAGAAAAGGGTTTTATTAAAATAAATGTACTTACCTGCTTAAAACCAAAGCTGCCAAATACATATCATATGGAAAAAACATCTCACATGCATCCCTGATATGTTTGCAATACAGTATTTATAAAAGTAAAGAGCCTCAAATTGTTCATAAGGACATTATTCTGTTAAACTTTACATTTGGGCTACTACATATTAGCTCTTCGGCTGTTTAAAGGCTAAACGTGTTGTATCATGGTTTGTCCAGCAGATGGAAGACAAAGTGTGGGTGTTGTTCTGAGTGTGTATGCATAGATATGTGACTGAGACTGAGTGAGCACTATATGGAGCTGACTTGAGAGGGTTCATGTCACATTTAACTGCCTCTCTTCTGTCTTTATCCCCCTGATAGTGTCCTAGAGCGAGAGCAGCAGCAGAGCTCCCTCCCCTCCCCTCAGATTTAGTGACATTTAATGGCTGAGTGTGTTAGATGTAACAATAACAGAGCCGGCGAGGAGTGGGTGGCGTGCTCGTGGCTCGTTCATCATCAGCTGAGTCAACTGCAGCTCAGTCACATGCATGACTTGCATCTATTTCAGAACCAAATAACACAGGGAAAAGGAGTCAGTGTGATAGTCAGCACACCCACACATTCCATTTAATTCAGCTCTGATACTATATTCATCCCTCAGTGTGATTGGAGGAAGTGAGTCTGCAAAACAATGACACACAGGCACCTCAGTGCATTCAAGAGTTATCAGGTTGTGTATCGCTGTCGGATGCAGTCGGAGGCTATATTTCAAACAGAGGGCAGAACAAGGCCGGCCAGGGCTTTTCCATGAGCTGGTTCTTATTTACAAGGTCAGACAGGATACGTTTGCGCCACTTTGTGTCACTCTCCTAATCAACACCCTCATGGTGTGTCACTCTGTGTGTGCATTGCACCCCAATGAAGACTAAACAGTTAAGATGGAATCTCCAAAATTGTCAAATAGAGACTGTTTTTCTTCTCTGATCATTAAAAAGAGAACTTGGCAAGGATTTAACATATTCACATCATTTCAGGATTTTCTTATTTCGAACAGGGCGTCTTCATAAATTCCTTTTCTCATTGTGGCAGCAACTTGGCAACGTCTTTGGAGAATTGATGTGGCAGAAACTATGACACAGTTCATTCTGTTATGTGTCGTCCCTTTTATGAACACAGCTGTTTTCTCCTCCCTTGTTTCGTCCCCCCCCCCCCATGTGTTTGGACTTTTGTCTGCTGTGTTCCAGCCTGTCAGTTACGAACAGCAGTCCTCTCCCGCTCCTGACTGCACTACCTCCAGGGTCAACTCTTCTCCAGCATCTCAGAGCTGGGTGTTTTGAGCCCAGTGTTTCTGAGCCATGACAGCTCTGGCCTTTTATTCAAAATGTCATATCTTAGACGCAGTCACTGAAAATAGACTTTAAACACTTTCGGTAACAAATGCAACAATTTGCTATGAATCAGGCAGATACATTTGTACATAGTTGCTGATTGATTTGCTATATGTTAATGTGGTTGCAGCTGTCTCTGTCCAAACACCATTAGTATGACAGAGGAGAATCATGAAAGCCACAGGCCATGTTCTTCATGGTCATGTGGATAACAGACTTTTAATTATCTATTTTTTGTTTTGCCAGTGTCTGAACTTCCCTCATGCACAGTGACATGATCACTACTGACATGATCCTCAGTAGGCCTCAGCTTTATTCTGCAGATTTGCTGATGTTTGGCATAATAGCAACATTTCTGCAGAACAAACTACCACAGAGTTTATATGGAGCTTATGCATAGTTAGAATTGAATTCATACATTAGTTCTGATGCTATTGAGGAGCATGAGCAGACACAGTCAATTCAATATGCTGCTTGTATGGTTGTAATATTTGCAGGCTGCTTTGGTCCCAGCTCAACATCACAGACACAAACACACAGCAAGAGATCCAACTCTGTTGTCATGGGCAACCTGTACGTGCTCCGTCCCACAAGTTGCGTCAAATGCTGCCTTCAGGTCCCGTTGGAAATTATCCACTGTTGAAACTGGCAAACATGACAGACGCAGCAGAGGAGTTCCCTTTATGCTTTACTCAAGTTTACAGATATAAATCTAAATAATGGGCAGCAGGATAAAACTGCTTCTGTATAATATGCCTAAATATAATCCTAATCCTAACCCCATGAGGCTATAACTACAGTGAAATATAACATTAAGCCGTGCACCGAAGACAGTTATCTTACATTTCCTAAGCTATGTGGGGCGCTTAGCTCATTCTAATAACAATTACATCACGACCAACTAATAATAATCTGTCCTTCGCTTTATTTCCTAAACTTTTTTTGTTGTGAACATATCTAGATATCGGCCAAGACTGAAGACTGAAGGTGACAGGGCCTGTAATGTCAGGGCCTCGGTCCACAGTAAGTTTATCAGGGGAGCTCAGACTGAAACATCACTGTTTTCAAATCATCACTCAACACTTCTTTTACCTAATGACCATTTTACTATTTCATATGTTTCTTGTTTCCTGTATTGTGATTTCATTTAAATGATTAATGCATTAATCGGCTTTTAATCAGTCTTTTATTTTCAAAGGACAGAGAGACATATATATACGTGTGTATATATATATATATATATATATATATAGCCAGGATTTCCTACGATGCTTTACAAACATGCACAGGCTTATTTAGCCACAAGTGTTTATTATTTTCTTCAGTGTGCCATTGATCAAATTCAGCATGACTGCATATTGAGACAGCAGAGCTCGGATGTGGGGAGTCTACAGTGCGGCCCTGAACGCATCAAGTGTAGCGGCCAGCAGCAGCGGCGGCAGAGCGGCACAGAGCGGCAGCCGAGCGGCACCCGAGCGGCACAGAGCGGCAGCACAGCCCCGACACAAGTGCTTCACAAGAGCCGGAGACACG